TAGCAAATTCCTGGTCAAAATCTCACTGGTGGACATAAAGAGAATAAATACATACAGATAAGTACGTAAATAAAATCCTGAACTTTACTACAAAGACTACGGTATACAACGTAACGTAAAAAAATTAATATAACCACTAAAAACAGTAATCAGTACTATAGTCATATGGGTGTGAAACACGAAAAAACAACCGAGGATGTGCCGTTTAAACACGCAGCACTAAGAACAAATCAAAGGTATTTTAATTGAAGGCTCTTTCAGCCTTCTACCCGTTTTAAGTGTGGGTTATTCTACACATCCAGTTTTTAGAAGTATAGAGCTCATGAACTTAGACAATGCTCCAAAATAACTACCCATATAAGTACCCTGTGCTGACCACCGAGCGGCGACACTTTGTTCTTGAAGGACTTTAACCTGTTACTGAAAGGTGTCCCATTATAGTGATGCCTGCTGTTACAGTGACAGGTATAAAGCGCCTTTGTGTTACCATGACATCATGAAGAACTCACATTGGCTTTTGTTTACGATACTAGACTAGCTAACCCAAATGCTAAATGCTAAAATGAAAAAAGCACAAGGGTCTTTTTTGGGGGGGAAATTGTTGCTAAAAGTTTGAGAGCTTTTAATAACGTGCAGTTTAATTTTTTTTTTTAAATAAAACTGACGACACTGCAAAAAAAAATATTGAAGCTAGCACGGCGTTTAGCACGAATGGCTAACGTTTACGAGCTAAGCCTCGCGTTGTCGGGAAAGCTACCATCACGGAAACGGAGATTACATAAAAGCAGCTCTGCTTTTCTACATCTCATAGTCTCACTATAGTTGCACGCACTTCAAATACACCACAGCGCTGCTGTGGAAGAATAAAGAAAATAATTTACCTGAGAATTTCTTCAACGTACCCTTCCAAGCTAGGTGATAGCACCCCTATCTTCTTCTTCGCTTTCTTTCTGCTGTTGTTGCTCCTTCCTCTTTGCGTTTATTAGGTGAGAACCTTCAAATGGGCACAGCGCCACCCATCGAACCGGAGAATATAAAGTGATAAGATGACATGCTGGGGTACATTTGTTTCCATTTTAGGATATTTTCATCTTTATTTATTTTTTGCTTTCAAATATATTTTTACTTTGAATTCCCTAACGTCTAGATGGTTTCACTTCAGGATTACCTTTAAATTTTTTTGTTGTGCTTTAACTCAGATATTCATATATCTACTTCCTATAACATATACATTAATAAATTCCCCTGGTAATCTAATTGTAATGTTGTAAACTGTGAAAGAGGTGCTTTTACATTGATCTGGATAATCCCTCCACCATAAGAACTATTTTCTACCAAAGACACAACCACAGTGAAAACAGTCAATTAGCCAGACTGAAAAATTGAAATGATAATTTCTATAAAGGATTAACAAAAAACATGTCTGGTTTCTCATCAGACCAAGGATTCTGTCACGAGATTAAGTTAGTCACGAGAAGCCAAAGAAAGTATGTGCGCACACAAAATGTCAAAAACCACTGACAACATGTAACCCTGCAATTTAAACACAAAAAGCTTGAAGGAAGCACATTTATTCGAATCTCATCTCAGTAATATGCCCTAGCGTACAGTATATTGCTCCATATTACTCCGAAACCATAAATTTACATGCCCACAACACTCAGCTGTTAGCAGTCCTCTATCTTCTTGGCAGACAGAAGTTTTCGTGTTGGATAGATGCCAAAAGGGGAAAGCAGGCTTATAACACTGACACTTACAATCATCATGTGTGTATACCTCACTAATGAGTTTTATTTTGCTGTGCACTGCTTTTTTATTTCATTGATGGAAAAATTGATGAAACAATGGTTTTCTACATGGTACCTACAGGCTTTGGGGATGGACAGTAAGGACAAAGCAGACATGGAGTAAATTATAAGCTGTGGCAGGACAGGATGTTCAAACTTTTTTGATTGTCAACATTTGAGCTTGTACATTTTTGTACAAGAGGTAACCAATCAATATAAAGTTGGTTCAAAGAGAGTTTCAAGTTAAATGATAAACTGTACAGTATAAGAAAAATGAGGTTCATTTTGAATTTGTGAACAAAGCTGCTTAAAAAGAGACCAAAAGTATAGAGCAGGAAATGAAAATAATACGTCCCTTTCAAGATTTATTATTCTATTTCTCCTAAACAAACTGCAACTCTGAATCTCAACTCAGCATCGCTTAAACATTTAGACGATTTCTTAAAGGTTTATTTAAAATGCTCTTACAGAATGCAAGGGCATTAATGTAAACTACTGAAGCTATGTGACCAGCTTGTTGGTCTTTTTTTTTTAAATGCTCCACGACTTTTCTATCAAATCTAGTAAAAGTGGTGCAGTCGTAAAAGAAATGTTGGCTCAAAGTCTTCTTTAAATCTGAGGCTGTCTATAGAGAAAAAGAGACGTTGGCTAGAACGAGTGCTGACATGCGATGGTGCAAAATTTAAAATTGATATTGGATGTAAACCTAGAAGGATGTGGGTTTAAAACAAAGGGAAAGAAAACTCCAAATATCATCCTTCAGTTAGCCAAAAAGCAACAGAACTGCAGGCTTATCACATTCAGTCTGCCCCTGATTTAAGGACAAGTTGCCAAAAACTAAAATTATTGTGCGTCTTGAAGATTTTAGCAAACACACTTAGAGTCCAGCTGCTCCAGGACCAGCAATGATTTGCTTTGCAGTAAGAGTGAAGCCTCATGTCTACATCTTACCATTTATTTTGTTAAGATGTTCTTTTGGAAACAAGTTATCACTGGTTGGTATCCTGTATGAGATGCCTGAACTAAGTGAATGAATAACACCCAAGAAAAGGTAGTGTATTTTGTGCAATGAAAGAAAAAATTGTTCTGCGTTCATTATAAATCCACACTGTTCTTCTTCTTCTGTACGCCAATGACTTCATATAACATCCAGTCCAAATAAACCAGCAATGCGCAGAAAGGTAACACTGTTTGACAAGAAAACATTTTCTCTCCTAATCTCAAAGTAGATTTTGTCTTGAGCTGAAAAACCAGACAACTTAAACATTTTAAAGATATGTCAGTTCTCTGCTGAGACTCTGAGCCCCAGCTTAGTGGCTGTGGTGGAGGTCAGAGGTCAGGTTAGCGGGTCACTGCTGCGTAAGCTGAACTCTCCTCTCGATGTGAGATATCTCCAATATCGGCATAAGGAGCTGGAAGGCATCCTGGATGTAAGATGCACTGTTGGATGCCTGTGTGGGATTTAAAAAACAAAGAACACGTTAGTATGAAATATCAATCTCCAAATGTCCATACTAATGTCTGTTAATCTATATGGGGTTTTAAAACTCAAACTTCTACAAGCAGAGATCCTGATGAAGCAGGATGAAGTGGTGTGGAGGAACTAGCCAACCAATTTTAAATCAGCTTTTGCTTTTGGTCACACTTTGTGTAAAACACCATAAAATCAAGTCACAGCACAGTTCTCTCTGACTATTAGAAAGTAGCTTTCGTGTTGAATAACTGTTAATCTTCTCCTGACATCTAGTCATGTTTCAGTCATGAGCTGAAATAATGTTTCTTTGACAAATTCTTAATTTACTCTAATATCATTGTAGCACAGTCCTTGTCAAGACAACCAAAAGTTAAAGTGCTCTGAGCAGCAGATAAATAAATTGTTTTGTTTATTTTAGCTATAGTAAATATTTTTGATATACTTTTCTTGCAATTAAGTAACAACGACAGTCAGATAACTGATTCTGTTCTGTTCTTCTGCTGAAGCAATGAGCTGATACGACTTCTTAGTTTTAAATTACAGCAAATGATTATATTGAGGTTTCTCCAGAACCCTACTGGCTGGAAAAATCAGACATCTAAAGTAAGTCATCAGGAATTTTACAGACAACACCACTAAGGAAATACAGACTAAATGAAGAAGGTTCGAGAATTGACCCCTGTGGGACACCAAATCAAATTTAAAAGGAAAGACGAGAACGCTTCTAGTTTTACACGAACGGACCTTTAACTGACATACTGAACTGCGAAGAATCCCAAAAGATGAGGATCTCTATAAAGTAGACAGTGCCAGAACCCCTGGGGTGTTGTATGTATTCGAAAAACAAAAACATTTTGGACAATTCATTAATGAACATATGTTGGCTGCAGTAATATGACAAACCTCTAAAAATACTCCTGTTATCAGGGGGTTGAGGACTTCTCCCTTCTCGTTTGACTGTAAAACAGAAAAAAATTAAATTAAAATGATCTCTCTGTGGAACAAAGAATTAGTGGTTTGGAAGAGAAAACACTGCAAAGAGAAGCATAAATTAGGGTTTGACATAAAAACAGAAAAATGTGGATGGAAACAAAATGATGAAGTTTGTGGCTAATGCAGATCTCCTTCTAAAATGATATTTATAATATAATAACTGTGAGACATTATCAGCTGAACTGCTTACTATGATTCCTTATCAACAGTATGATAATATGAAGAAATAATAAACACGTGGAGGTCAGATTAACAATAAATGACATCAGTGGAAAATAAAACATCTGTTACTTTTAAGACTTTAAATTTACATAGTAAATATGAAAATCTAAGTGTGGTGGGACAAATGCTTTACAAGCATCAGGTATCAGTGACGCCCTGACGTTAAAACAGATGGATAGGATCTTGAAACCTACCCCTGCTGCTGTCAGGCAGGAAGTAAACTTCTTGGACAGCAGTGAGATTTCTTTACACAGGACAACAGTTAACCTGAGAACAGACAGCATGACAAAGGTATACAGTTAATTAAAGTGCACAGAAAAAGTGAAATATCCCCACCCTGAGTCTCCCGCTCATGCTGTCTTACTGTGACAGGACGCTGGCGTCTGCACTGCCATTGGAGAAAAGGATCATCTCAGCCAGTTTGTGGAAAAGCTCGATGGATCTGGCCGTCAGCTCGGCCAGACTCCTGATAGCTGCAGCATGAACCTCCTGACAAGATTCAACACACACACCATTGCTACTTGGTCAAATCCTGCAGTCAAGTATTACCCTCAAACGTCCAATACTTGCACTGTTGGACACTGAATAAAATATATGTTGATGATGTCAGTAAGACATACCTCCACACTATGCTTCTTCACATCCTCCTCATTTACATCTGTTTCCACATGCTGTTTGGTCAGCTCACTAATCAGGCTGGCGGAGCTCTTACAGGCCTGTTGGATGTTAGCAATCATACTTTAACAGGAAATTGGCGAGTTGAGAATTAGCAGTTACTGTAAATCAGAAAGAGACCAGTCTAATAGATTTAAAAGCTATGAGTGTATCTGACATATTTCTGTTACTTTTCCCATCAAATTAACGACAAGGGAGACAAGTTAAGGTCCTTGTTACATTTCGAATAATGAGTCAGAAACTGGCAGGAATATGATTCTGCACAGTGAATTGTTTGAGCTGTACCTTGCTGAGTTTGTCTGCAGTTGCAGAAACACTGAGGCCCTCCATGGCCTCCTTTAACTCCCTCTCAAACTCTGATCCGTCTTCATCTGCAATTAGAAATGCACCATCATTTATTTCAGGTTCTTCTTGCAGCTGTGAAACTTTTATAGCTGATTTAAAAGACATTACCTTTACTCTCATCAACTTCCTCATCATCGAACTCCACCAGGGAGAAGGAGCTTTTGATTTGGTCGAGCTCATCTCTGAGCTCAACCAGCTCGTCTCCTGATAGAGTCAAGAGCACCGACTTCACCTACAGCACACACAAGAGAAAATACTTTACTAGATTCCCCAGAAATGTAAAGCATAGAAACAGTGTCTTTGTATGTTTTTAGCTACAGCAGAAGTGATATTTTGGCAGAGACTTTCATTGTACCTTTGACTCACTCTCTCGAGACAGAATCTCCAGAGCTTCAAGGTGTGACAGACCCTGAAATTCATCAAACAGCATCCCGTAGTGAGCGACCACCTTCTTGTCTGAATTTGCCGAGTCTTTGTCTGCTGACTGCAGCTCCTCTCGCTCCTTCGCCTCCCTCAGCACCTGAGAAACAAAGAGTGACAGAGTTGAGAGAGTGTGACACATGATAAGGGACACGGCTCCAGAAATCTATGTCAGCCACTAAGCTTTAAAGTCTTCATATATATATGTTCCCTCTTGTCCATTAGGTTTGAGTGAGATTTTAGGATTTTAGCTTGTTTTTGTATTTACTACCTACCTGAGAGAGAGTGGCGTTCCGTCTCATCAGTCCTTTGGTCTTTTTGAAGCCAGGATCACCTTCTGCTATCACGTCCATCGTCTTCTTCCCAATGAACTCAAGAGCATCTAGACCTCCTGTTATCACGGTCTTACCCTGTGAGGAAGCCCAGTTTAAACTTTTCTTTAAAATATGCTAAAATAAATTCCTAACTTTTGTCAAGTGAGAACAGTCGCACCAACACACAAGTGCTCTCTAGTTTTAAGCATCAGCTTACCGTGCTCTGGACGACGCTACTGAGTGACGACAACATTCCCATCGCACTTCCCACTGCTGACGATTCATCTACTGCTTTGTCGGGCTCCATGCTGGTGCCATCTACAGGAGAAGACACTAACGACATAAAAATCTATGTCCAAGGATTACACGAGAGAAAAAAATAATAATTTAAATGGGTCAATTCAATTAATTTCATTTTCATTTGGACAAATCTTTCCTTCACAAAGCTATGGGACTTGAAGGAACTCAGTAGCCTAAAGATGTTTAAATCAAAATGAAAGTAAAACTCTATTAATTTGCTGCTGTAACATCAGAAACGGAGTACTAAAGCAAATATATCCACTTAGCAATCTACAGGATCAACAATTTTCTGCCACACTCTGCCAGCTCCCGTCTTATCTGAAGTACCGGTGTTGCATTTTGCTTTTATATTAATTTTGAATTCTTGGCAGATCTCCATCAGCCAGTCTTCTCTGACTGAAGTGATCAACATCTGATTGGTTCATTATGATGAAAAGTCTAATCAAATGTGCCCATTAAAGTGTTTTGATACATCTTGATCATCTTGACTGGAGAGCCTGGCTTTATTGATCCTCCAGGTTCTAACAAACATTTTTCATATTCACAATAATGCGGCCTTACCCTTCTGTTTCTCTTCTTCCTCCACCTGAGCTGACAGTTCGGTTGGACTGGGGATTCCCAGTGATGTCTCAGCCTTCTCGATCACCTGAGTGATACCTTGGCCTAAACAGACAGAAGACATCAGGTTCAAGGTTCAAGGTTCAAGGTTTACAAGTGATCCGCTGTCGTATACTATAAGACTAGAGGATTTTGGGATGTAAACCAGAGCAAAAAATAAGTAAAAAAACAAGAAAAGTGGATAGTCGGAGTGGAGCGGTCAGGAAGGCGTCTGGACGTGGCCGCGCCATCTTGTACATATAGTACATATAAGCAGAGAAGCTTTAACAGTAACAGAATGAAAAAGGCCAAAGCAAGACTACGTTTAAACAACAAATGACTTGGTGTTGTACTATTTTTCAGAGGAGCCAACTGTGTACTTGTAAAGACTGAGTGATGTGTTGGATACTCACCCACAGTGGTCACAGTAGCTGTTGCTGTGGATAAGATGGATTTGCCCCAGCTGCCCCAGTAACCCCAGCCACCCTGAGACACGGTCGACTGATTGGATGTCTGAGAATGAGGACAGAAGGAGAAAGAAGAAAAGACACAAAACAGATGTTGTGAATGAGTAAAACAGAAAGATGACTTCAACAAGTGCCTTTTAGTGGTTTCACAGAAAACCATTAAAGATTATGACAAACGCAGCTTGTTTAAAACTCACATTTCACACAAGAATAACTATCCAACACATCAGACCATTTAGTCTAAGCCCATTAGGTTGTTAAATCATCCAATAGATAATTAGATGACATCGCACATCAGCAGGGTCATTAAGAATCTCATGTGAAAGTGTTATTGCACCCACGCTCATCAGGTATCACACTTCCCTGTGAGATAGCTTTGCAGTGTCAACGACCAAACACACAAGCTTCTTTTGAAGATGTTTATGTGACATGATATGTTGCAGGATGAAAAAGAAGTCATGATGAAAATTATGGCTTCATCTCTTCTCTTTTTGCAATCATCTTTAGTTCTTCGAGTATGAGCAGTACTTCAATTTCTACTACCTCTGCTGGCTGCTCATCCTCTTTTGGAGTCTCCTGAACTTTGGCCGCAGGCTGGGTTTCTGGCCTCCTCCTGGCTTTTCTCGTCGGAGCTACATCAGTGGAGATGTCAGGTGTGGATGGAGAGGAGCTGTCAGGGGTACGAGCGGGAGAGACATTCTGCTTTTCCGGCGCTGCCTCTGCACCCTCGGCTGCTGCACAAGAAGCTTCACTGTCTGACATGTTACCAAATGTCTCAGTGCATACCTGGAAAGAAAGAGGAGGAAAAAAAGGCACTGCATAAACTCTGGCAATAAACAAAATGATTTGCTTGTTGCTTTGGATAGTAGCGGAAATGCCAGGTACTGGTTTGTAGTTAACTCTCTTGTGCACTTCTCACCTCATCACGTGTCAGTCGACCTTTCAACTGAGTCAGTCAACTTCACTTGTCAGTTTAATTTTTTTGTTTAATTATTATTATTATTATTATTAATAGTAGTAGTAGTAGTAGTAGTAGTAGTAGTAGTGATAGCAGTAGTAGTATTCAGTTTCGATCATGAGTAAATTCAGTTCACCTCCCAGAGGAGTCCGGGTTCCTTTTTTTTTTCCACACTAACTTAAGCACATTAAAAAAGTACTGAAAATTTTACCTTCATATTATGAATATTTTTAAATTAAAAGCCCCTTGATACATGGGCTGGGATTTCAATTTGTGTTACTTTTTCAGAATTTTTAAATCTTCATAACTTTATAAGTACATTTATAACTTTATAAGTTTTTACAGTTAAAAAGAAAAAAACAAAACAAAAAACCCAACGACACTTAAACTTGGATAAGATCTGCAATCGAAACATTTCAACAAAATCACAGCTTCAAATTCAGGATTTTATCAAAATGTACGTACAAAAGAAATGAAAAAAGAAAGGTAGAAAAAAAAGAGACCTTTTATATGAAATTAACTGTTTTAAGCAACCATCTATCCCACAAAGTGATACAACCCAGATAATTTCACCCAAAAGGCAGTTCTACCAACTTTTACCCAAATGATAAGATAATGAGAAAACATTTCAAACGTCCAGGATACCAATAATATTTCACTTTCTCTATGTCACGAAAACGAAATATTGAAGGGGGGGGGGGG